ATAATTGCTGCCGAGTATTTTAGAGTTTGACGTTTATCTTTTATCATAATAAAAAAAATCAATGTGCCGGGATCATGAGCCGTTGGGTGGGCAAAGGGATTTAGTACTTCAAAAATAATATCCCTTTGGTGGGGATTTTCTAATGGAATTCAGTAAATATCGAATTATGTCGTTTATTTAATTATTTACAGCTTTCATTTCACAGTTCTGAGAATGTTTGATGCTGAGTGTCGCCGGGAATGGTGGTAGTCACACTGACATGACCGATTACAAGTGTATTTTTTTTTTTTCGGTTTATAAAAGACGGATTTAATCCCTTTCTTATACATGGTACAACAAACTTAATATTATTTTTGTCAGTAAAAAGGATTGGAGTATGAGACCGGACAGATGAACTTACACATGTCGAAAGATATATTATTCACCTCAACTAACACAACTAAACACCGTTTAAGAATGTCCCTAGCTGCCTCACCTCTCTGAAAGCTAATAATCAAAATAGTAATACACGACACATCAGCCACACAGACGGTATCTACCATAACTTAGTGCTATCTCTTATCCTTTGTTATAAGAGAAAAAATCACTAAGAATTATTTAACAGGTAACACTCACACAAACATGATATTGGATTTGTTCTGTCGTTTTTATAAAGGATTTCTAAGGCTTTAACAACTAAGATCTTTAAGTATTTAGTTTATTCACTAGACAACAACTACCAGAAATTAAAATAAATATATATTTTTGGGATTAAATCTATCTTTAGAATTCAAAATGGAGACGGGGTAAAGATTCTCACTTGAAGAGTCGCCAAAAACCTCTTGTTACGTCAGCCACTTTCTAAGGACTGAGGCAGATAGTGTCCACCTGGTGAGGAAGTAATCATGAAATTGCCTCTACTCCATTAACACCTAGTGGACTGTCATGACTGTCACTGTCCTGTTACTGAAGAAAGTGACATACAGTTTGTTTTACATGAAGATGGTGACACTCAAGATTTACCTGACCTGCTGTGCTTTTACCTGACCTGCTGGCTTTTACCTGACCTGCTGGCTTTTACCTGACCTGCTGGCTTTTACCTGACCTGCTAACTTTTACCTGACCTGCTGGCTTTTACCTGACCTGCTGGCTTTTACCTGACCTGCTAACTTTTACCTGATTACCGAAGTGGCCGTCAGTCTTAGTGCCCCCCTCCCCCTCCCCCTTGGTCATAGTTAAGTATTCTCAAAGACTCGTTGTAGTTAAATAAGTAACGTGTGGATTAACTTTGTCTTTCTCATTACGATCACCATGTAAAATTTAACACAAGCGTTTAATTTAGTGTTTCAATAGTGTTAAAAAGTTTGTAGATATGAACGTCTTTTTTTCGACTTATTTCGATAATTGGGATGAAGAATTTTAGTAAACTTTACAAAAGGAAATTAAAATAGAGTTACAGATCACATTTTACACACACACACACACACACACACACACACACACACACACACACACACACACCTCTTCCTCACTCATACGTACAATAAATATATTTATATAAGTGTACCCGCGATTTATTATTTATTATATATTTAAATTATATATTTCTATCTAATTCATTAAATTATACCTTCCCGACTGCCTCTTATTACCTTCCTCATAATAACACACGGAATTTTTAAGAAACTATTGGGTTAGGTTAGGTTATTATCCGTGCCTAGATCCTTCTACGTGGGTCAGTGAGTCCTGCCTGTGTGAGGGTGTTGTTCTCGGTATCTCTTTCATGGTGAATATATATGGCACCATCACTCAAGCTCACACACACATAAACCTTCTAATATAATAAGAAAACTGATGCATAGCGTTGTGTATCCATCCCCCAGCCCACCCAACCCTCCCCCCACCCAACCCCCCCACCCAACCCTACCCCACCCTCCCCTCCAGCCCACCCCCCACCACCACCACCCCAAGATATACCACTCCACAAGAATACATACAACTTCACAAGGGTCATTAATACCGCTTAAAGCTCTTGTATGTCATCCTTATTGGCGCAGCTATAGAGAGAGGTAAGACAAAGACAACCAACACGATAGCACTTAACATGTCACTTCTCAGCTGGGTCAACTAGGGGGTATTCTAGGGCAAACTAACGATCCTTATTACCTGGTTGTTTATGTCAGTTATGGGGTAGATGTGGTTATTTGATGAAGTGTTGTTAAGCCTTTGATTACGATGATTTATAGTCTAAATACGATGGTGTAAACCCCCCCCCCCTAAGAATGATGGTATAACTCATTTAACAACACAACATCAAGATAATACTACAACAACATCAACACAACACCCACAGGAACACCATCAATACAACACCCACAAAACTAACACAACAAAACATTAAAACATTAAAACATCCTCTTTTGAAGACGTCACAAACGACTAACCAATTATTGAATCATATTATTTACAAATCAACATCACCGAAGATATTTAACTCCGATGAAGAATTTGTTTAAATATGGAGACAAAAAAATGAATTCTGTAGACATTTGGTTTAACCTTATGAATGGACAGACAGACAGACAGACAGACACAGACAGACAGACAGACAGACAGACATAAACACTTCCAAGATTATGTGCTTATTTATGACATAGAAACTATCAGGGCAGTTAAGGTATGTATAGTCTAGTGTAGAATATAGAAAATATTTTAATTATTTCATTTAAAAAAGATAAAACTGCCTGATATTAGAATAACATTTGGATAATTACCATAATTTATTCATAATTTGTTTAATGATTAGTGAAGGAAATTAATTTTGGATAATGATTCAAATCCAGATACTTTCCGCCTCTGAACACAAAATATAAAAGCATTTCTCTATTTTGTTCTAAAACTTCCAGTATGTAACAAGACATAACTAAGATAATGATCGTTTCTAGATTATATTACTTTGCATATAACCAATTTTAAACTATTTTTGACGATAGATTCTGAAATTAAGTTACAGATCAAAAAATTGTAACGGACTATTTTTTTTTTTTGTGTAATCGAGGAAATAGGTTTATTGTTCTGTACAGGAACGACGTCACGCAGGCAGAAATATATAGAAAGTGAAATAGAAAATATAGTTACACAAACAGAGTAACAGAATAACGCCTTTTACTGAGTCCATTTACACCTTTCTGTTTATTTTGGTGTTTCTTGGTCTAGCGTGAGGTACATTACACTTTATACAGGTATCTTAGTGGCCTTTTTTTTTTCTCTCTAGTAATAACCTTTTTTTATGTGTGTGTGTATGTATGTGTGTGTTACCTACTTGTCAGTGAGTATAGGTAGACGTATGTAAACATGAGCTTCCTGTGGCTATTGATGTTAACAAAGATAAACGTAATATTTTAAAGGATGTGAATTTCTCCTATTACAGACTAGCAACAGAGGTACACCCCCCTCCTCCTCCTCCATTGATAGTAGTACCCTCATGCCTTCCTCCGTTCCCTGTGTAATTTTAATGCCCTACCCTCCTCTCTCATTCCCCTACGTGCCTCTCTCATTCCCCTACGTGCCTCTCTCATTCCCCTACGTGCCTCTCCCAGACATACATTATTACGAAGCTTGATTTAGAATATGTTTGAAGACCCGACTGGTACCTGACCATCGGGTGTGGCTGCTGCACGATCACCGCTCCACCCCTGTTACTCGATGTTCCGGACCTCGAGTTATGGATCATGGATACATTGGATGGCCTATAGCTTGGGCTCATGGTTAGGCTCTCTAGAGCTCCGTGTCTGTGTTGTTCAGATCTCGAACGGAGTTGTAATGAAGCGGTGCACCAGGGAGGAGGGCAGAGTGTTCCAGGACGGACCAGGGTGTGCAGCTGGTGGTCGGTGGAGCCGGTTGTGGTTGATAGCAAATTGTGTTACTCTGGCTTAGAATGTAGTGTAAGTTTATAATATTTATGTACATTTATATGCGGTAGGATTAGGGTGATTGTTAGAGTATTGTTTTATATTTACGTAACTGTTGTAAGAGTGTGACGATTGTTAATGTTTGATTAATGCTGGTTGTTGGTGATGTAGAATACCTGAGTAAGACTGAATAGTGCAGGATCAATACGCTAAACATGAGGTGAAATGTAAGTAAACAGAACGTTCGAGTCTGTGGGGGTCGGTTACCGCTCGGTTCCTGGTAAGGTGTCCAGCTCGGGAACAAAAGCTCGTAACAACATACATACAGGCATACGCATACACACATACATACATACACATACACACATACATACATACACATACACACATACATAAACTAAACTATATTATAAACTAGGCAAAAATCCCCGGTCTCTATAGAGTAAACCAAGACACGGTAAGAACAGGTGTGGGGGTCACGGCAGACTCAGTGCAGCACAAGATTACTCCGGTAAACCTGGAGTCTTTCGGGGGAAGGAAAATATTGACTTCTGGTGTGAAAATGGCGAGCTACTGGGACGACTGGGCCGGGCCATGGCTTTCCCTTCAAATACTGGAATGAAATCTCGCTGGCAAATCTGTCTGTAAATGGAGGTCAGAGGTTATGTCACAGTTTCCTTGTCGAGGGTGGATGGCGGGCGGCCTCTGGTCCCCCTGACTGCAGCTCTCGTCTCGCTTTATTCCTTCTTTATTGGCCCGAATTCTTTGTGTCAGAGATTGGGCTGCTGGAGAGGTGGTGCAGGGAGGTGTCGTTCCTTATGTTCCAGATGAAGGGAATGGAAGTAGGTATTAAGAACCGTGAAGGTGACTTTTATACACTGTTCTGTATACCTCCCGCCACCTCATCCCGCCTCTGATGTGTCTGAAGGTGTTGAGTGTTTGTGGAACTGTAACATTGAGGCTCGAGGCAACCTGAAGGACATATATAGAGAAGAATAAGAAGAAAAAGAAGAGGGAGACAAAGAGAACGATGACAGACAAACAGAGATAAATAAAAAGAGCGGAAGGTTGAAGATAGTCACGATCAACACACACGGGGACATTACTCACAAGCTACGTTGACGATGATGCGTTTCATGACGGCAGGAGGAACCTCGTTCTTGGCGATGCACACGTACGCCCCCATCTGCTTCCGTCGTACACGCGTCAGGTTCAGGTACGGTCCCTCCACTTCGTCTACTAGAAGCACAAAACCGATGGCATTAGGCATTGTGTATTTTCTGTTTCACTTACACAAAAACTTGTATTAAGTAACTAACATGTGTCTGTTGTAAGCCTGTAAACGCTCACATTACACAGCACGAGATTTTTCTAAAGTTTTCTAATCCAACAAAAACACGATCATTTCCCTCCTATCAAACGTAAAAAGCGAGTTAAATATTAAATCCTCTTGTCACTTAGTTTGATTTTACACGACACAAACAAGGTGTATATTGTTTCTCTTCCCCTCATGATGAACTCACAAACTATGAAAAAACAGCACAGTTATTATAATACGTTTGAACAATGGTCGATGAACATTGAACAGCGACCAAAAGTTGTTGCTCTCCCCTCGCTGTGTTGTTCACCTTTACCCAATATGACTCTGTTGGCCTCACCCATACCACATGGAAATTTACATAGGCTCTAACTCTATAATTAAAATTGTCGATTATTTAACAAAGCTTCTTCATAGTTAAAATTATCGAGTAAGATTGGTAATTAAATTTTATAAACAAAACAAATAATATTTAAACGAGCCAAGAATATTACCAGAGAGTTGAGGCAATAAGCAAAGATTTAATCCACCTGACTCAGTGTGACTCCCACCCCTCAACAGCGTCCGACGTAAAGAAATATCTCTCTCCCTTTTATAACCCTCGATAACCAGGGAGTTTATTTCGTGATAGGAACAGATTATCAACTTCTCTCAACCTCTGTATCTCATAACTAAAATTAACTAATATTCTTGATGCTTCTAGTGATGGTCTGGTCATAAGTTGTAGTGTTGTGTGTGATTCCTGTTTTTTTCTCGTAACTTTTCTTCTGTTAACATTAAGCTGTGTTTGTTAGTGTGTGGTATTGGTGGTGTGACCTAGCGTGTGATACAGATGGTGTGACCTAGCGTGTGATACAGATGGTGTGACCTAGCGTGTGATACAGATGGTGTGACCTAGCGTGTGATACAGATGGTGTGACCTAGCGTGTGATACAGATGGTGTGACCTAGCGTGTGATACAGATGGTGTGACCTAGCGTGTGATACAGATGATGTGTGTGATACCCTGGCGTGTGATGCAGATGGTGTGACCTAGCGTGTGATGCAGATGGTGTGACAGATACGATGGTGTGACCTAGCGTGTGATACAGATGGTGTGACCTAGCGTGTGATACAGATGGTGTGACCTAGCGTGTGATACAGATGGTGTGACCTAGCGTGTGATACAGATGGTGTGACCTAGCGTGTGATACAGATGGTGTGACCTAGCGTGTGATACAGATGGTGTGACCTAGCGTGTGATAACAGTAGTGGTGTACGTTACATGGTTCAGGATTTTGAGTGTAAAGTAACAATGGTATTCAAGAACGATTCATTTGACTCTCCGAAGACGTCACACAAGAAAAACATTTATCCACCACGTACCAGTCAAGTCAGTATAGGCTGGTTGACATAAATCAGGCTATAAACTTTAGTTATAAAAGGTGAAACAATTAGAGAATATTGAAAGGAAGATTAAGTTCAACGCCCCCAATTGTTTATAACGCTTTCAGCGTATTATATATTAAATGTTGGTGAATAAAAGAGTAATTATATCTTGGGGGACATTTGTGCGTGTCAATGAACTGTTCATAACTTGTAACCTAACCTAACCTAACCTAACTTAAAAAGACCAAACTTAACCTCATCACATTTACCCCAAACCGACACGACCCGACCTAAACCTGACCTTACCCGACCTGACCCAAACCTGAACCTGACCTTACCCGACCTGACCCGAACCTGACCTGACCCAACCTGAACCTGACCTTACCCGAACTGAACCTGACCTTACCCAACCTGACCCGAAACGACGTCCCCAAGTGAGGTATCCCCCCCATGGTCATCCTGGAGGGAACAAGAGGTCAACACGTGTCATCCTCGAATACAACGACCTGTGACCTATACTCCCCCTCCTCCCTCCCCTCAATCCGTGCTCAACATGTTCCCTGACCCTGACCTGCTTGTGTTCCAATAACTAGACATATTGTTATTTCTCCTCCTTTTATAACAGTTTGTTCAGGCCTATGTTATTTTTTTTCTTCTAAATATTGTGTCAAAGGTCAGTTTTATTCAGGTTAAACTCTGTGACGTTGATATTTGACTTCCCAACCTAACCTAACAATCTACCAAGTTCTATTGCATATCTGCCGGGTTCTATTACTTATTTACTAGCTTCTAATCAAACCGGTCTTTTTTTTAATATCGTGTCGTATAAGTAGACAAACATACAGACAGACAAAATGATGGGAATGACCCCTTGACCTATAAAGCGAAGTCTAAAAAACGAATATATCTCACCATTAGTTTTCTTCAGTATTCTCTAAGTCAAAATACCAATAGGTTTTAACATCATTAAGTTTTTGTCCTTTTTCATGGGAAGATTTAAGTATTATTTGTATTTTTATGTTATTAAATAAATCCCATTGTTTTCTTCGCATTAACATATTAGGAACTTCTGTCTAACCTGTTTATTTAACATGACCGAGCCTTCTATCATGTCCTATTCCCGTTAAACAGGAATTAACCTTTAACCATGTCTTCCCGTTATTAAGTAAATCAGAACTAACCTTTCATCCTGTCTCTTCTTCCAGTCCTGAGTGTGATCTTCTCGCCGTCTTCCCGCCGCCACAGGATCTTAGGAGCTGGGTAACCATTGGCCGTACACACCAAGGACACGCTCTCTCCGTCAGGCACCGTGATGTCACCAGAAGTCTGCTCGTCGATGATGTTAGGAGGGACTGCAACATATTGATGCCGCGTGTGAGGGGCAGGTCTTGATATACACACACAGTGAGTGTTTTATTGTAGGGGAAACATAGGGGAAACGAGTGTAATATGTAAATGTAAACTGAGGTTGTGTTAGATGTGATATATTTCTTTGTAAAACTGGACAAAAGAAAGAAAAAAGACGAGAAAAAGTATTTGATGATATTGTGGAATTTTTTTGGAAGATGGGAAGAAATATTTGAGTTTTATTAAAAAGAGGTTGAATTTTATTGTCGTGTATTGAATAAAATGTTAAGTTTGATTGGTAAAGATTGAAGGGTGTGTGTGTGTGTGTGTGTGTGTGTACGGTAACTATGAGGATGTGTTAGAACTAAAATATATAGCATAGATAATCTTGTTCTATTAAAAGTTATGAGTTACTGTGGTATGTTGAATGAAATCCTAAATGTGAAAGAAAAGAATATGTGTGTAAGTGTGTGTAAAAAGAAGATGAAATTGTGTAAGTTCAAATACAAAAACCTGACATCTGTATTTATTTCAATGTTGCTTATATATTGAACTAATTTCAGATGATCATAAGTGAAAGATACAAGACTTCTGAAAAATCTATGAAAGAGAAGATGAATGATGATGATGGGGTGATTTCTCGACTGACCGGAAACACAATACTGGACGTCGTCACTCATGAAGGTAAATTGACAATAATTCTTCGTAAAATATTCCCATACAGCGAAGTTACAGTCATCCGGACATTAACTTTACAGTCGAAATATATAATACTTTTTTGTCGGTCAAGATAAAAGAAGTATATTCATATTAAATGTAACTCATATATTTTTTTGGGTATCAGGTATTTCAAACAGTTGATTTTCTTTTTAGCTTCTTAATAATGATCATAATGTTTTCCGTATTCATATAATATTCTGGAAAATAATGTCTTGATTATTTATATACAGTGAAATATTATTATTATTATTATTATTATTATTATTATTATTATTATTATTATTATTATTATTATTATTATTATTATTATTCCGCCGGGTGATAACTTCCCCCTTACATACCCTGACGCCAAGTAGTTGATGGGGTTTTCTGAGTATTTTCTTGTCTCATAGGATTCATTCTAGGCTCTCCTTATTCTGTTCTTCACCTTAACTCCTTTTACATTGTTACAGCACCTCTAGTCTTGAAGCCTTGAAGTGATACATCTGCCATTTATTCCCTAAATATTTGCTCCCCAGGTTTTATGAGTAGTTTAGGAAGATTGATTACTTTTATATTTAATGGTTAGGTTAGGTGCAAGAGACCCAGCAAGCCTTGTAAAACATTCTTCCCCCAACAGTTGTCTTTAGAATGTTAGTAATTGTCTTTGTTTAATGACTTGTGAGATTCGCTGTGTAAAGAACCACCATGAACTGTGGTCTTGTGTTGTATGATGCTGTCACCCCGGTGTGATGTCGTCAGGTGCCTCTCGTTAAGTGTGTTTGTAGTATGTTTCTTGTCCACACACACACACACACACACACACACACACACACACACACACACACACACACAGAGCTTCTTACAGTCTTAAAGAGATATTAAGTGTTCTAACATTAGCACATTATTATTTACATGTGTTAATTTGCAAAGTATTTCAAGAGGTGGATCAGTATGCTTACGTGGACAGGCATAGTCGCGGGTGTGTGTGTGAGGGGAGGGGGAAAGCCAACAATATCCCAGTAACACCAGGCAATATCATCCTTCTACATCTCCCGATAACAAAAAAAAAGTTATTATTATTTTTTTTTACTTTCTTTTTGAGGCTCCAAAAATATTTAAAACGATATCTGGTATATTTTAAGGCTTCAGATACTCGTGCACACATGACTGTTAGGAATACAGTGTTGTGTTGCCATTTAAAGATTTTTCACTAACAACAAGGGTGTCAGTATTAATCTCGTGTATGGGTGTTGGGAGTTATATGTTTTAAAGACTTTCTTAATTGGGTTGTCAGAAATATCACCACACATCTCTACTGCCGTTTGTTTAAAAGATATAATGGCCACAATTATCTCCGAGTATCGATGACTGCATTTATAACGCCGTATCGCTCGTAAAAGAATTCCCTTGGATTTTTTTTTTTTTACGTCGTAGATTATCTCGGTATGTGACTTCTCAAAGCCGTGTAGCGCACAAAGAACGAGGGGGGGGGGGAGATGGGGAGGGCGAGGAATTATTGGATTTGAATCGATACGTGTTCCAACGGAGGTACAGCCAGCGGCAAGCGTCCTTCATACACAACGGGACACCAGCTGCAGCACCACCACATCCACGTTACGGCCTCCCTGCTCTTACCGGTTTATTTTATCTCCTTGGGGATATATTTCCTCGGTGTACGTGTAGTGCGTGCGTGAGTGTGCGTGTATGCGTGTGTGTTTGCACTAAGTAACCCGAGCCAGCACGACATGATCAATCAACAGCCAACCTAACCTAATTCAGCCTACAATAACTTAATCGTTTAACCTGGATTTAAGTTAGATTAGGTTAGGGGAAATTTTTTTTAGATGCATTTTCATTCATGTCTAGGAGGTAAAGTGCCACCTGAGGGCTGTTGTACCGTCACATCACCTCTCCTAATGACCAGTCCCATGATGTTTACTGGCATCATCCTTCTGTCTCCCACTTATCTTTCTGTAGACTGAGCATTATACCTTATACTTATTACCTGTTTGTTTACTTGTCGCTGCGAGGAATCATTAATTAGTTTATCGTTGTTTTGTTCGTGACACAACTGGTTTACAGACTTCGCTCTTGCTGGCTCGACTCACTCAGAGGAAAACTTCATCTGTGAGGTAAAAAAAAAAATGTCCTTTATATTTGTTCTCCGTCATCGAGGGAAAGGATGCACGCTTTATCTCTGTGCTTCCTGGCCGTCCTCCCGTGCGTCCTGGCCTTCCTGCCGTGCGTCCTGGCCGTCCTCCCGTGCGTCCAGTAGTAGCGAGCACAATTAACCGAAGAAATAGCGATTGATTTCATCTGTTAGGCGAAAATCCTTTGTTGTCCCCAGCCATCCCTAGAAAGGGACAAAGGAAAACACACTTTCTCTTCCTGCGTTCCTCCACTCTACGGCTTTCCCATACACTCTTCCGTGGGTCCCTACACTCTTCCGTGGGTCCCTACACTCTTCCGCGGGTCTCCACACTCTTCCGTGGGTCACTACACTCTTCCGTGGGTCACTACACTCTTTCCGTGGGTCCCTACACTCTTCCGTGGGTCTCTACACTCTTCCGCGGGTCTCCACACTCTTCCGTGGGTCCCTACACTCTTCCGCGGGTCACTACACTCTTCCGTGGGTCTCTACACTCTTTTATCCTTCAGAAAAATGGTCTGTTATTCTCTGTATATTTGTTTGTTCATTAAAAATAATTCGAGTTAATTCTTTGTTCTTTTTCATTACGTTTCTTCACTGTTTCAAATAGAGATTAAATATGAACTCCTTGTACTTTTATTTTCATTTCAAAGGTTAATTTAGTTTATTATTTTATATCTTTCAATTAAGAGATCCAATTATTTTTTTTTATTTTTTTTAAAGAGTGTAATTAAGTTGACTCTTTTTCTAATTAATTTTGTTATTAGAGAGATTAATGTAGGTAATTATATTTTAATTTAATACTTTTTGTCAATAAAGAGTTTATTTGAAATTGTCTTAATTATATTTTTATTATATGTTTTTGTAAATAGTTAAAATAGGACATTGTAAAAGGGACATTGTCTTTACTTGTGTTTGGAGGACATCTCTCATAATGAATCAATACAAAGTTAACTAATTGCCTGAAACGAGGTGATTGGTACTTAACCTGACAATGCAGAAAGTTTTAATTGAGATACAGACATAGAGAGAGAGAGAGAGAGAGAGAGAGAGAGAGAGAGAGAGAGAGAGAGAGAGAGAGACTGCCTTACAAGTCACACAGGACAGGTAGACGGAAACAGAAGGCACATATTAAAGAAAAGACAGACAGACAGACAGACAGAGACAATGAGAGACAGAAGAACATGGCTATCTACTAATAGACAAACGTACAGACAGACAGACAGACAGATCGACAAACAATCAGAGACAGAGAGAGACAGAAAAATAAAAGTACACAGACAGTTACCAACTATGAACATACAGACAGACAGACAGAAAGAGACAAAGAGACAGACAGACAGAAAGAGACAGATAGAGAGACATAAACACACAGACAGATAGACAGAAGTACACAGCCAGTTACTCACTATGAACATACAGACAGACAGACAGAAAGAGACAAAGAGACAGACAGACAGAAAGAGACAGACAGACAGACAAGACAAACAGAAAGAGACAGACAGACAAAACAAACAAAAAGAGACAGACAGACAGACAGAAGTTACTCACCATGAACATCGACACACCCAACCGTCTTCTTCATAACGGCTGTGTTGATCTGACACATGTAGCAGCCTCTGTCATCCTCCTTTACCTGTGGGGGTAGCATGATGGATAGAATGATTAGGCATGATAGATTGTTGGAGGATAGAATGGTAGGACATGACAGATTGTTGGATGATAGAATGGTAGGAGATGATAGATTGTTGGATGATGGCATGATAGAATGTTGGATGAGAGAATGATAGGAAATGATAGATTGTTGGATGATGGAATGATAGAATGTTGGATGATAGAATTGTAGGACATGATAGATTGTTGGATGATAGAATGATAGAATGTTGGATGAGAGAATGATATAATGACAGACACACTATTAATGTCTCATGTACACACACACACACACACACACACACACACACACACACACCATTAACGTCGTGTCTTCTACTCTCCAGAACACAGTCGAGTATTACGACAGACAAGCAAATACGATTAACATTTCCTTTATGTAAATCCTGTAAATATTTAAAACACAAGTCTCCTTACACCTGTCAACCTACCACCTTAAATTACCATATTACTCATTCAATAACATTACATGGCGGGGAGGTAAGAAATAAATCACCTGTATTCATATTAAATTACAAACGAGAACGTGATTGCGGATTTTCACGTTCAGTCACTTGGGAAAAAAAAACAAGTGACAGGAAGTTATTGACAGGTTTTAAATGTCAGCTGGGAGGAGAAATAACTTGGGTGAATTAAGTGGAAATGTTACAACCCAAAAGTTTATATAAAGTGATGAAATACAACTTGGGTTATGGTGAGTGTTGTGTTGTCATATGATTTTATTAATTAAGAGGTAATAAGGTTATATATAGGTTTACCGCCACTAGCAACACAACACAACACAACAGAGACAGTAACAACACAATAAACACAACACAACAGAGATAGTAACAACAGCAGACACAGCAACACAACACAGCAACACAGCAACACAATAACATACAACAACTTACACAGAAACACAACGAAAGACACAACAACACAGCAGCATACATTGTAACACATACAGCAACTATCCAACACAATCAACAACACACTCAATAATACAACTTGGTAACACACTCACTAACACACCCATCACCACAACTACACACTCACCAACACAACAACACACTCACCAACACAACACATTCACCACCACAACACTCACCACCACCACAACACTCACCAACAACACACCACCACTCACCACCACCACAACACTCAACACCACACTCGCCACCACCACAACACTCGCCAACAACAACACACCACCAAACTCACCACCACAACACACTCACCACCACTCACCAACACACCAACACTCACCACAACACTCACCACAACTCTCACCAACAACACACTACCACACTCACCACCACTCACCAACACACCAACACACTCACCACCACACACCAACACACTCACCACCACACACCAACACACTCACCACCACACACCAACACACTCACCACCACCACCACCACAACACTCACCAAAATAAACTGAACAAGAGAATCAGGAGTGACACTTACCATTCTAATATGTAAGTTCCAAGTCCTGGGTTCGCTGTGAGTGACGGATATCCTGGTATTATGAGTGACCACCTTCTTATGTAGGCTCAGGATAGTCTGCGTGTCCGCTCTCATCCATCCCACCTGTGAAGGAATGAATACACCTGAGTTAACGTTGTGATTTTACCGTGATATACACATAAATAACACACACACACACACACACACACACACACACACACACACACACACACACACACCAACCCCCCACACTGCCCCACACCACCCCTACACACCACCCCACACCTGCCCAACCCCCACACACCACCCCACACACACCCCCACACACATAAACCCCCACACATACACCCCACATACCCCCCCACACACACACCACCCCACACATACACCACCCCCACATACACCACCCCCACACACACCCCACACACCACCCCACACACACACACCCCCACACACACATACCCCCCACACACACCCCCACACACACATCACCCCCCACACACACACACACACCCACCCCACACACACCACCCCCACACACACACCACACACACCATCCCACACATACACCACCCCACACACTACCCCATGACTGCACTGTAGGGGTGACAGTGGACAACACTTCATCGGACTACTCTATCACTACAAGGGACCCTGGACAGGCTACAGGCATGGATCACGGAGAACAAGGTCACCATCAATCACACCAAAACCGTAGTCATGCACTTCAATACCGCCACCACTCCAGTGCAAGCTCCAGCAGTTACAGTGGGTGCCCATCCTCTCCAGTTAGTGCAGTCTGCCAAACTCCTGGAGGTAACTGTAGACCACAAACTGGACTGGAAGACCCATGTAAACAACACAATCAAGGCAGCCTCGTACCGACTCTACATGCTACGACGAATCAGGTCACTTGGGGCACCCACGCCAGAGCTGAGGACTATCTACAATGCATTTATTCTCCCCAAATTAACGTATGCGTCACCAGCCTGGTCGTCTTTCAACTCAACCCAACAACGTCAGCTAGAGAAGGTACAGAAGAGAGCCTGCAGAATCATGCTCGGCGCAAACTACTCGGGCTACAACAACGCTCTCTCCACCCTGGAAATGCCAGCGCAGACCACTCCAGCTACATCAATGCTCTCTCCACCCTGAAAATGCCATCCCCCAGTGACCTCCACCACCAAGCACTAGCAAGGTTTGGCAGTGGACTACTGCACCGTCCTCGTCATCGCCACCTACTGCCACCTGCAGTTCCCCGCCCACTTCACGCAGTCCGCCACTACAACAAAATTCAGCCCATAAGAGCCAGCACTGATAGTTATAAGAATAGTACCATCCCATCTATTGTTAAAATAATAAACAACTCCTCATTTATGTACTGTACAGCCCTGTAAATGTATTGAACGTATATTATTATGTCTAAATCACATGTAAGTTTGTATATTTTCAGCCACCGGCTGCAACTCTATTAATAAACCGTTTATTATTATTATTATTACACACACACACAACCCCTCACCCCCCCACCCACCCCCACACACACAAGTATATATATATATATATATATATATATTATATATATATATATATATATATATATATATATATATATATATATCAAAATTATTATACACACACACATATATGACAGTATATTAGAACAGTATAGGGAGGGAGAGTCATGTGTATATTTGCTCTTAACCCCAGCCATCACGGAGAGAATATACATGAATGAAGGGAAAGTCATTTTTGTTGTTGCATTTCCATTAATTCCTGTGAGTATGACGTTTACAAGTTAGTCTCTCATCCAGAATTCATGTATGATGTGTTTGACAATTATCTTTAGAGTGTCTTTACCTTTACTATCCATTCGTAACTATGATAACAGTATAGAGGTATTTGTAATTATTTTAATATATACGTAACTTCGTATATGTTGTTGTTATTCTGTTTTTTGTCTTTCTAACTCTTTACATTCTAACAAACAGGTGACCTTGTAAGAGACAGACAGACAGACAGAGAAACTCACATATAAAAAAAAGTTAAATCATCACTAATTTCAAACATGTGGTGTAAAAATAAATTCTTGGCTATATAATTCTGTTAGCCACGGGTCCCTGAACACAGATTACACGATGGGTTTATGAGATGGTAGAAGGAGTGTTGTGTTAATATGTAGCCTTCATTATCTCTATCTATCTATCTATATCTGTGTCTGTCTGTCTGTCTGTCTGTCTATATCTGTCTGTCTGTCTGTCACATAATCTGCTTTTTATTCCTCTTATTTATTTTTTATCTTATTCCAAGTTTTTTTTCCTTTTGTATATCTCCCATCTTTCTCCACATTATTCTCTCTCTCTCCCTTTATTCTCCTTTCTTCATCTACCTTCTTATCATCTTTCTTTTACTCTCTTTCTCATCTCTCTCATCATCCTCTATACACACACACAAAAGAGGAAGAAGAAGAAGAAGAAAAATTACCATCTCTTTTCCTTCTTCATCCATTCATCACATTCTCTCTCTCTCCCTCCCTCTCCTATGCTTTTACTTTCCTTGTGTCTTCTCTTCTTCTCCTCTATTCTATCCATCACTACCCTACTTATCCCTCTTTCTCTCATCTCCCATTCATCTCATTTTTTTCTTTCCTATTACTCTCCCTTTTCTTCTTCTCCCTCATCTCTACTTACTCCTGTTCTATTCTCCTCCATCCCTCTCTTCCTCCTCCTCCTCCTCTTTCTCCTTGTTCTTCAATCGCTCCCTTTTCCCTTTTCCCCTTCCACTCCTGTTATCGCCCTGTTGGTCTCTTTTTCTTCCTTTCTCTCCTACTGCCCCCCATACTTTCCCTTTCCTTCTCTTGTTTTCTCTTTCCTTTAGTCTCCTTTCTTAGCCTTACCTTCCCTCTCCCCCCCTTTCTCCACCTTTATACCTTTCCTCCTCTTCCATCTCCTCGTTTCGTCTCTCTCTTCTCTATTCAACCTCTCCCTTCCTTCCTCTTCCCCTCTCGTCATTCTTCTCTACCCAACCTCTCTCTTTCTTTCTCTTCCTCCTTTCATCTCTTCCTTCCTCTTCTCCTCCTCCACTCCCTATCGTTCCCTTCTTCTCTCCTCCCCATCAGAAATACATCACCAGACAGAAGGAGGAGAAAGAGGGTAGGGAGGTGAGGGAGAATGTAGGCCTGACTGGCTGACTTGGCCGGGGGATGGGATGGTTGGCTGAGTCTAGATTACAGAGTTGAGAGCCATGTTTTGCTGTAATCTTGGCCAACACTGCTGTAATTTTAGTCGACCTGCTGTAATCTTGGTCAACCTCTGATTGTTATTATAGGGACTCAGAACATCCATATGCAAAAGTCTCTCTCAGGATTTTCATTGGGTGGAAATCTCTTGCTGAGGTGTTCGTTATCTAATGAAAATGCAAGACCTAAAGAAGACATGATGCTTTACTTGGTAGATGGGTTAACTCTAGGAATTGTCTCGAGTTAGGAATGTAAAAATAGTGTATATACAGAACACAACAGTGGAAAATAATGGATCTTTGCTGATATTCGATTTTTTCCGGATAATTTATCTTTCCGGATTTTCGATGTTTCGCGGATAGTTGGTCTTTTCCGGATATTCGATCATTTTCTGATAATGGATCTTTGAAGGTAATTCACTTCTTGGGATAGTTATACGTTGTGGATAATCGGTATTTTCTAATAATCAATTTTCCGGCCAATATAATTTCATGGGAAACAGATTTTTATGGGTAATTGATCTTTCTTGATAGTAGACGTGAACGGATAATAGAAACCATGCAGCAATGACCTCGGAACCCGACCCAACCAAACCCGACACGACCCAACCCCACCCCACCCCACCCCACTCCACTCCACCCAACCCAACCCAACCCATCCCATCCCATCCCATCCCATCCCATGTTCCCTCTTTATAAAACCATTGAGAACATAAGGTGGGCGAGAAGACCCACACCCTTCACCCATCTTACAAGAGTCAACAAAGCTCTCATGGGGGTCAAGTCCATCCTTCCTGTTAACTGTGAGGGAAAGAGTAATCAAAAAAATGGAAGAGTGAATCTGCATAACTTTTCCACTTCCCCTTCACTATGAGAGGGGAGACAGAATTAAGATTTTTTTTTCATCATTCCTCTCTGTTCCTTTCTCTGTGATGGAGATGGAATAGGGAGGGAGGGGGGAGGAGAGATTATCAGTTAATATACACTAGAAGGAAAAAAAGGGGGGGTTTATTATTATTTTTTCCTTCTGTCTCCTTCTTTGTGATGGAAAAGAAGGAAGAGACATACTAAAGGCTTCCATCATCTCTCTCTCTCTCTCTCTCTCTCTCTCTCTCTCTCTCTCTCTCTCTCTCTCTCTCTCTCTCTCTCTCTCTCTCTCTCTTCCCTTATTTATCTCCATCGCTCATTTTTCCTCGCTCGGTCTGTCTCTCTCTCTCTCTCTCTTTGTGAAGTAGAGGGAGGAAGAGGAGAGGGAAAAGGAAATAAATAGAAAGAGAAAGACAAGGGAGGGAGGAAAGAGGGAGGGGGAGAAGAGAGGAAGATATAGTGAAAGGACGAAAGAAGAGAAGGGAGTGTGCAAGAGAAAGAGAGATAGTAGAAGGAGGAGAAAGGGAGGGAAAATGAGGAGTGTAAAGGAAAGAGGAGGAGACAGGGAAAGGAGAGACGGAAGGGAATTTGTCCATATGTGACTTGACCTTTTTCAATCTCTGGAACGGGTGTGTGGAGTGAGGAACCAACGTCGATACATCATCTCCTGGTCTCTCTCTCTCTCTCTCTCTCTCTCTCTCTCTCTCTCTCTCTCTCTCTCTCTGACTCGAAACATTAAAAGGTGAAAGAGGAAGGGGAAAACTCCTTTACACACACACACACACACACACACACGAGACAATCCTTGCCTTTCTACCTAAGCAAGAGGGACATCTCATTCAACATCCTTTCCTAATACTTCCTTCCTTCCTTCCTTCCTTCCTTCCTTCCATCCTAATCCTCCCTTCCTTCCTCTCGTGGGTGATGAAATGTGATGAATCCTACCTGGTCAAGATAGTAGTGTGGTCAAGATAGTAGTGTGGTCAAGATAGTAGTGTGGTCAAGATAGTAGTGTGGTC